GGGGGGGAGAAACACCGGCAAAACAAGCACAGGGGGCAAAGGGGTGGAATGGGCAGTGGAGACCGGTAAAAACTAGGGTGAGGGGAGGAAGGGTCAGCCGGGACTGACGTGCTGACGGGGAACACTGAGTGGCCAAGCAAGAAGCTGAGGTGAAAATCAGGGGAGCCTGGTGAAAACGGGGTTCTGAGCAGGAAGGAATAATTCGAATAAATATGAGGACTTGAAGAGCGTAGGAGTCAAGGGGGAAATGGAAGACAAAAAAGGAGGGCAGAAGAGAGAACGGGCAAGACTCAAAATACAAATGCGGGAGACGGTATAGCAATAAAGCTGGAGGGTAAAATTGAGGCCTGAGGAGGCGGCGGGCTCAGCGGTCAAACGGGAGTCCAGGTAGAAGGGAGCAACATAGGAGGAGGAAACCCTGAGGCTTAAAAAAAAAAAAAATGGGCACAGAGAAAGCCATGTCCGGAGGACACGGCAGGTGACTACGGGCACGACAAGGTTAACAGGAGAGTGAGAGGAAGAAGGGAGCTGAAACGTGTTCAGAAATCAGCCAAGTGGGAACCCCAGAGGTCTGAGGTGTCATGAGACTCAGGAAGGAGGTGGTTCAGAAAGGAGATGGGAAAATCTGGAGGGGTGGGGGGGACTTAGGTTTAAAAAAAAATTTTTAATGGAAAGGTTGGGATTAAAGAGAAAGAAGAAAAAAAAATGGGAAATTTAGGTTAGGTTAAGTTAGGAAATACAAGCTTTAAAAAGGAAGTAGGTTTCAAACCCTACAACTCAAAGAACTAGGGAAAGGGAAAGGGGGGGTGGGAGAAATGACCTAACAGAAGAGCAGATTGTTTGAAGCTAAAACTAAGAAGTGAGGGAAATGAGTGGGCCTAGAGAGGTCCTGGTGTGGAGCTGTAGGATAAGCACTGAACTGCTAAACAAAAGGTCCACAGGTCAAACCCACCAGCAGCTTCTCAGAAACCCAATACAAGGTTGTTATGAATTGGAAAATACTGAATGGCACTTCACAACAGAGAAATAGAAGTGGAACTGGACAACCTGGAAGCAGGGTGGTGTGGTGTGAAATGAGAGATGGGAAGGGAGTCCTGGTGTGGCTCTGCAGGATCAGCACTGGAATGCTGACCGCAAGGTTGGTGGTTCAAACCCACCAGCCACTCCTTGGAAACCTTTTACAGGGTAGCTGTGAGTCAGACCTGACTCAACAGCACATAACAGAATCGACAACCTTAGCTGAGCCAAGGGACTGGACTAGCAGAAACCGTCTTTTGAAACCCTCTATCCGTTTTATGTCCTCATTCTAACTCCTACCCTCTGGCCTTTTAATGTTGGACAGACAGCAAGAAATCTGACCAAAAAGGTGGAATGTGTTTGAAGATATGCAGCCATCTGAACATGAGAAGAAAGCAAACAAGTTTCTCAGGAGGATTTAGGAACAGTGTGGACATCTCATAGATAGCGTGAGTCGTAGCTTCTCGTCATGGAAAAGAACAAAAAGTTTTTATCATCGAGAAGAAAACCAGTTTAAAATAAAACATTGTTTGGCAAACTCATTTTCCCAGATCTTTCTGTTGACTAACAAGGTCTAAATAAAGATCACTAAAGCATTTATTTAAAAATAACTTTATTCTGCAATCTTTAAAAAAAAAAAAATCCATATTATAGCCCTCAATTCATTTCTCCCAACCTCCCCCAACCAAATACGAAAGTGTACAGAACACAGAGGGATCTGCTTACTTCTCTTCAGAGCAGTTCCTGGGGCCAGTCCCCTGGTAAGAAATACCAGTTGGCACTTATTGCATCATCATGAATTTTAACCAGCAAAGATGATTTTTCCAGGTCTCAGTGCATAGGTTATGGAAATTTTCCATTATGTCTTTTCTTGTAGATCCTATATGTGCTTATGAGAAATGGAGCTAATATCAAAGCCACAGGATGGCAAGCCTCCGTCTCTGATGCTCTCCCACTGAGCTTGGCGTTTTCTTGGTTCTGGATAAGTAGATCTCATGGTCTCTTCACTTCACATCACATGCAGATAAGATTCACAAGAACAGTGTAACAACTTGGACTTTGCCACTCAAGGACAAAGTTCTGTGGCCCATTGTCAACAGGTCTGTGGATATGGGTACGGATTGGATTTAAAAAAAAAAAAATCCTAAAAACTTTTAGACTTTCAGTACTGGGGCTCTTAATTGGCCTAGCCATAGTAAGGTGCCCAGCAGGCCTAAAAAAGTGGCATCAGTCACACCTCATGGAATGCATGGTTTATAGGGTTTTGGCACCAATACCTCGATGTCCCCATTTGCTAGTGGAAAAAAACAGAAATTTCCTATCAGCAGGTATGCGCAGGAGAACAGGAAGTTGTGGGAAGCATCCCAATGGTCTTGTAAAATGTTCTCCCAGCTCGTGAGTTCTGGCTGCATTCTGATTGGTTTTGATTATGACTGCATCTGTGTAGTGAACTCTCAAATTCATGAATTTGGGCAGGGAAGACTCGCCAGGGAAACTAAGACTTCACCAACTTTAGAAATCACATGCTTTGAGAATCCCGTTCTCACTAAGCACGGTCAGTAGTTCAAAACTGCCAGCTGTTCCACAGGAGAAAGATGAGGCTTTCTGCTCCCATAAAGCTTTACAGTGTCGGACACCTTGTGCAGGGTCGCTGTGAGTCTGAACTGACTTCATGGCATATAACAACAACAACAACAAGAAGCATGTAGGGAACTATAGTGGCCTAACTAAGAGAACTGAGAAGTGGGATTCACAGATATTCCTGAGCAACCTCCACCAGGATCTAAACACAAGCTGAGTGACTCGCAGTTTACCTAATCCCTTCAAGGAAAGGACGACCCCCAACCACACCTGCAGGGTTACTTCAGAACACCAGCTTCTCACCCTTGGAGTCACTGGTAAAAGAAGTTCTCTTCTCAGTCCTTGGCCGTGTCAAGGACAGGAGGGTATGTAACATTCAAGAGAGCTAAGCCAACTTAGGTTTTCACGTTTAGCACATAGACATTGCCTGCACCCTTACAAGATCCCTGCCGTTTAAGAGATTTGAATGAAATCAGAAAGAGAAAAAACAAACTCTGAACTGTGCAAGGATCTACTTGAAGATATCAACAGTCTCAAGTCATTATAGGCTGTTTTCATTGGAAGCGTGATCGAAGTCACCTTACAATGTCCCTAAGAAGTAGGAAGGAAGCAAGTTTTCCCATTTTCCAGAGAGAAACTGAGGGCAGATCACTGGTTTTTGAGAAAAGGTATCCTTATTGCCAGATAGTCTCGTCTATTTCCAAACCTTTATCCTGCAGCATTTCACAGCAATAGAAAGGCTAGAAGCTAGTTAGTGCAATACCCTAGAAGCTTTTGTGTAAAAAGGAAGCTCTGCAAAATGTAACAGTATCATGAAAGGCACTTACTTCCTCTGATCAGCTCCTACCTCTTTGAAAATGAGCCCGGGTGGTGCCGTGGCTAAAGCGCTGGGTGACGAACCAAAAGATCAGCAGTTCAAATCTACCAATCGCTCCATGGGAGAAGGCTGTGGCAGGCTGCTTCCATAAAGACTGACTGCCTCAGAAACCCTATGGGGCAGTTTTCCTCTAAAAAATTAGATCTTCAAGGAAGCAAAAAAAAAACCATCAGGAGAGTTCTGAAAATGCCCTCAGTTTGAAAACCATTCTCCAAAGAATGAAAAGCACAAGGCAGTAGCTCTGACTGTATTTCTTCCACTCGGAAAGCCTAGAAGGTAAGTCACATCTACTGAGCACCTTCTAGTACTTTTACATCTCACCATAGCCCTATCTAGTTGGTAGGATGCCACCACTTTTACAGATTAAGGAGGTCAAGGTCCAAGGAGAGAGGTCAAGCCACATGACAAATCTGCAGGCCCAGATTTGAGCCTATGTGGTTCCAACTCCAAAGCCTGAAGCAAAATGCCTCCCTCTGACAAGCAGTGGCAGCTAACACTGCCTCAGCCTTCCCAGGGAATTGACATTTTCCTGGTTCCTCAGTCAGTGGCTCTCCTAGGCAGTGACAGAGGAGGACATTTCCCTATCAGCCCACAATATTCCTTTCTGAGCCACAGTAACCTAGAAAACCTGCATCGGAGCAAGACACTGAGACAAACCATGTGCTTTTGCCCACTCCTCCCTCCAAACCAAAGTCTGCCACAGTCAGTACGCCTGGATCAAGCTAAGAGTCACAGCAGAAGTGACAGCTCAGATGTTAATCCAGACTTGCCCCACACACTGCAGTCCCAAATCTTTTTAACATCGTTGAGAAGACTTACAGCAAATCACACCAATTTTTAAAAAAGGAAGCAAAAATGTGTTTCTCTTTTTTGCCAAGAGACCCACGAAGTTGATAATGCAAGACCCCAGCCAGGGGTGCAAGTCAAAGTCTAGGGAAAAGCTTGTCTTCAATTTGCTTCCCAAGCTTTTAAGAAAAGAGGACAAACAATTCTCTTCTTCAAACAGGCCCGTCTTCTTCCTGAACCACGCTGCTTTGCCGTTCACTGATGCCATCTGTAAAGGGAGGGAGGAAACAGAACTAGCTCTGCATCTCAAGACAGTGTCTTCCTATTTCCACCACTGGTTTTCAGTCATTTCAGTGATCTGTTGTTCTTCACTGGGAAAATGTGGGAGCTAGGTACCTAACTGGATTTCGCAGCAGAGCATTGAGGTAAGATAGGTATTTCTTCACCTGCCTTCTTTCCAGATCCTCCCAGACATGTATGAAACCATGCCTTTCTGGTTCCTCAAACTTAACTGTCCTTAAGTCTCACTTCATGTCCCACCTCTTCCATAAAGCTTCTCTGGACCAAACTACCCCTCAAGACTCCCATCTCTCACTGAGGTCCTGTCAGTTTTACATGCAGCATCCAACAGCCAATGAAATCCCTCCTTGCAACAGCTCCTCTCCGGCTCTCTCAAAGCATTGGCTCAATGTTGCTTCCATTTCAACTTTCCCCCTTGTTTTTATTGTTTGTTCTGAAAGATCTTGCGTAGCTCCCTGCATGCAGACATTGTCTTTTTTCCTAAACCTTACAATGTGCCGTAGGATTAGTGCTATAGGTGTGGTGCTGTAGGATTAGCACTGGACCGCAAGGATGGTTTGAATCGCAAGGTCAGCGATTCAAACTCGTCAGCTGCTCCTTGGAATAGGGTCGCTATGAGTCAAAACAGACTCAGCAGCACCGAACACCAACAACAGGATGCCAGTAAAGTCCCTGGGTGGCACAAATGGGTTGCTCTTGGTTACTAAACTGAAAACTTAGCACTGCTACCATACCCAGTGGCACCATGGAAGGAGAAGCTGGCAGTCTACTTCCGGGAAGAATTCAGTCAAGAAAACCGTAAGGAACTCAGTGCTACTGTGTTCCACATGGGGTTGCCAGGAGTCAGAACCAACTCATCAACAACGGGTTTGATTTTTTTTTTTTTTTTACATTGCCACTATTGTGCCTTTTCTAGAAGAAAAGTGTCCATGTAAATTTCATGTTGGTAGCTGTCCCCCAGATTCTCACATTCCAGATGCAGCTTTAACTAGTTGTCTTTTCTCAGCCTTTAACAAGCCCAAACTACCCCTGGGAGATTTCCTACTGGGACGTTCTCCACAGCTGATGAGAGGATTTATAAGGGGAAAAGTGCTTACCTCCCAGAGTTAGGAGCCCATTTCCCATCTGCTCCAGGTTCCCATTCACCAGGGCTGTCACTTGATGAATGTGGCCATGGGTGCGTGTTTTCTGTGGCAACTCTTCCCTCTCAGTTTCTTCTTCCTCTTCCTCTTCAGCAGCATCTTCCTCCTCCTCTTCTTCCTCTTCAGAATCCACCAAAACCATGACATCGCCCGTGTGTTGCCCCCTAATTTTCAAAAGTGAACAGTAATCAAGAAAATAGCCCATTTTTTCCAAGGCTCAGCCCTCACTGAATGGGAGACACTTGGTTTTGGGCCAACCCTTTCACAAGATGGGAAGTTCTTCATGCATGCAATTTGGTTAGGTCATGAGATGATGGTGTCATGGTAACCGTACAGGCAGAGGCAACATAGGTTGCTACAGAGAATCATGTCTTGGGCTGTTAAATTATTTCTCCCTCAAAAAGCACCCTCCCCTGCTGGTCAGGCAGCTGTCATGGTCCCCAGCACTTACCATTCCACTTCCCCTCACATGTGAGTGTTGATTCTCTCCGCTCCTATCCTGAAATGCCGACCCATGACTGACTTCTCCTCCACATCCTTTAAAGCCCAGGTAAAATCCTCTCCTCCCCTGAAGCCCTGAACTATAATTGCTTTTAGAGTCTGAGGCTGCCTCGCCAGCTAGACTACACATTTCTCATGGCCTGCTTCCGAGGAGCACTGGGTTTCCTTTAATCCTCAGGACCCCATCTGTTTAATGGGAGACATAGGCTCAGAGAAGGTTGGGTGCTTTTGTCCGGGGTCCCAGAGCCTAGGAAAGGCAGAGCTGAAATCTAATCCCAGGTTCACTAATTCAGAAACCTTTCCCACTCTGCCATGCTGCGGCCTCCTTCACCAGTCACCCTAGGGATGGCAGACTTACTGGGAGGGCAGCGCTCAAATACACAGGGTCTCATACAATTCCATCAGTATGAATGAGTAAAGAGAAGCTAGTTTTCCAATGAATTCTAGGAAAGAGAACTTTGCTCCCACCCAGAATCTGCTGGAACTACTGGGCTTCAAATCTACATGTCATTTTTATGCCTCAGGAAGACCAACAATGTGCTCAGACAGACTGAAAAATTAGGGTGACGTGTGTGCCTATTAGTCCTGGTGTGGCGCTGCAGCATAAGCACGAGACAGCTAACAACAAGGTCAGCAGTTCAAACCCACCAGTTGATCCTCGGAAACCCTATACAGGGTCACTATGAGTCGGAACCAATTCAATGGTACTTAGCGGAGCAAGTGTCACTACAGAAAAAGCATAGACTTTGGAATCAATTAGATATCGGACTTCCATGCAGGCACTAATGGGGACTTCTGGGGTGAGCCTGTAGAAATTACTTTATGTTGCTAACCTTCTGTCTCATCTAGAATGGAGATACCACACCATGACCCAGGAATATTAATGAAAACATTTATAATTATACCAAATGAGGCTTCCAGAGTCCTGGTGTGGCGCTATAGGATAAGCATTTGAACCGCGAGGTCAGCGGTTCAAACTCGCCAGCTGCTCCTCGGAAACCCTACGTAGAGGGTCCTTCAATGGCCTTTAACAACAATGAAGCCTCCAGTACAGTGACTACCACATGGTGACATGTCCCCATGGCCATTGCTATCATTAGTCTTATGGTAGGGAACCAAACGGCAGGACAGGCCACTAAGGAAAATGGGCTTTTGATTCGAATCTAGGAACACTCACCTGAAAGTGTTTCCTACTGAAAAGAGAAAGGGGGAGAAATTAATATCCATAACTTCCACGTCAGCCTCACAACAGCTTTTCATCAGTCTTAACACTTACATAAGAATCAACCAATGAGAAAAGCAACCCAACATTTAAAAAGGCAGAGTCCATGAAGAGATGATGGATCAACAAAAAGCAGCAGGCATATCAGTACAATGGGACCGTCTTCAGCCATCAAAAGGGATGAGGTTCTGAAACATGCCATGACAGGAATAAACCTGAAAACATACTAAGCCGCTTGTATGAAATATCTGGAATAAGCAAATTCATCCAGACAGAAAGTCAATTAGAGGTGACCAGGAGCTCTGGTAGCGTTGTGGTTACGAATCGGGCTGCGAACCGCAAGGTCAGCAGTTCGAAACTACCAGCTGTTCCATGGGAGAAAGATGAGGCTTTCTGCTCCCGTAAAGATTTACAGCCTCGGAAACCCTGTACAGGGTCGCTGTGAGTCAGAACCGACTTTACGGCACATAACAACAACAACTGTAGCCTTAAAAATGGTTAAATTGGAAATTTTCATGTTACATATATTTTATGACAAAGAAATCCCCTCCATCCCCAAGACACATTTGAAATCAATCTACCATGCAAAAGGAGTCCTGGTGTGTGGCGCTACAGTATAATGCGCTGGACCGCAAGGTCAGTTTGAACCACAAGGTCAACAGTTCAAACCCACCAGTAGCTCCTCGGAAACCTTATAGCAGGGTTGCTATGGGTCAGAATCAACTCAACAGTACTTAAAAACAACAATGTACAAAAGAATTAAAAAATGAGAAAACTGATCAAACACAGATAACAAAGAGTTCAGAGATGGTACTCAGAAACCTCATTATTACACACGTTGACTCAAATGAAGATGTGTATAGAATGGGACTTCAGATATGAGCATAATAGGGACTTAATTCTCCTACCCACGTCCTCTCAAGAATCCTGAAAGAGAAGTAAAGGATCCAAGAAGACCTACCTTTCCAGCAAAAACCTGGGCTGTAATACAACACAAGCCCGGAGAGAATGGCCAATCCCAGCAGAACAAGGCTCACAACAGTTCCCACAATTCCTCCGATGTTCAAGGGTTCTGCAAAAACAAATCACAAGTGCCTTGTCCATGCTATCTGCATGCAGCTCCAGAGAGCAGCACCTCCCTCAGATGCCCTGTGTCCAAGTGTGTGTTGCTTTTATGAACTGGACAAAGCATCCTTGTAAAACAAGATAAACAGCTTATCTCCCTAACTCAGACAGAGAGACTATAGGACTCAAATGAAGCACCCTATACCAAAAAAAACACTGGAAAGCCAAATTCTCTCTAAGTCTATCAAACATGAAGACTTCTTATAAAGGAATACTAATAGTGTAATTATTGCTGCTAATGATAACGATATAAGTGGAATGGAAGCCAAAAAACAAAAACAGACTCACACTTAACAGAAAACTTGATACATGACAGACTAATAAATCCTGGTGTGGTGCTGTAGCATAAGCACTGGACTTTAAACCACAAGGTGGGCAGTTCAAACCTACCAGGTACTTCTTGGAAGTCCTACACTTCTGGGAAACCCTACACAGAGTTGCTATGAGTTGAAACCAAGTTGATAGCACGTAATAGCAACAAGTGAGGAAAAGAGGAGCAATTCAGTAAATGGTCCTGGGACAAGTGATTATCCAAACCGGAAACCAAAAAAAAAAAGGCAAGTTGATTCCTACTGCACACCATTCAGAAAAATTAATTCCAGATGGATTAAAGATTTAAATTTAATAGATAAAAAACACATTTTTGAAGATATATGGGCAAATATCTTTATAATCTTAGAATGGGGAACTATTTCTTAAGATACCAAAATTGCTGATACTTAAGAAAAAAATTCATGAAATCAAATAAATTAAAATATGATAACAGTAAGTAATCAAAAGATACTTTAAAGGAAACAAAAAAGTTATTAAACTAAACAGTGATATTTGAACCACATAAAACTAAAGAACTACATTATCTATAAGGAAAACCCAAGGAAAATGTCATAAAAAAAAAAAGAGCTCAGTTTTCTCTATAATTAGGCCAACATGAGATTACACTTTTTTTTTCAACACCCATTACTTTTAAATTATGAGCTTATCAATGAAATTTTGAAATCCTGCTAGTAAAAATAATAGAGTTGTACTGGAATGCAAAGTTGGTTTGAACCAAAAGGTCATCAGTTCAAGCTCACCAGCTGCTCCTTGGAAACCGTATAACCGGGTCGCTATGAGTCTGAACTGACTCAACAGCACTTAACAATAACAAGAAGAAAAAAATGCAAAAATGGAAAAAGGATACAAACACTTTGGAAAACAATTTGGTGTTGTCTCATAAAAATGCATATATCCTATAAAGCCTCCTCATTCCTACTATTTGTATATATTCTAGAGAAACATTCTGCATAAGGAGCTGGATAAAAAGACAACCGCAAAAACACTGCTCATCGTTATAAAAACATCAGAAACAACTCGCATGTCCATTACCAGGAAAATGATTGATTTAGTTGTGGGATAATAACACAGTGGAAAATCATATAACGTGAATAGGTATAAAGTACGATTACACACATCATCATGAATAAATCCGAGAAACAAAACATGGAGTAAAAAACAAATCACAGAAAACGAGAAGTGCAAAGTAACAACATATATATTTTTGTTAAGTTAAAAAATAATGTGTTAGGAATAAATACCTATGTTATAAAAAAAATAAATACATACATACATACATGGGATTTTAAAATGTGACATTCAGGATAGCAATAGCTTATCCCAGAATGAGACTGGGAAGGGGTCTACATGTAGGGTTGCCAGAGTAAACACACAGACCCAATGGATAATTTGTACAGTATGTCTCAGGGCAATATTTAAGGCGCATATACAAATAGCTGCTGTTAAGTTGACTCCAGCTATCGCAGCCTTTTGTACAAAAAACCCCAAAATGCTGCCCAATTCTATGCCATCCTCATGATGCACAGCATGTTCCAGCTTACCTTTGCATTTATTGTGCCAAGCCATCTCACCGAGGGTCTCCCCTGTCCTTACTAGTCATCTGCTTCCCCAAACACGATGTCCTCCTCCAATAGCAACCAAAGCTAGCAAAGTCAGACAACACTCTGCTGTGCTGCATGACGTTTTTTCCACTGGCCAATTTTCTGCAGTAAATTTCCAGACCTTTCTCCCTACTCTGCCTTTGTCTGGAAGCTCTGCTGATACTTGTCCACCATGGGTGACCCTGCTGATACTTGAAATATTGGTGGTATAGCTTCCAGCAACACACAAGCCACTACAGTATGCCCAACTGACAGCTGGGTGGTAACTTGGAGACACACTTAAATTTTAAAAAGTATTCAATGACTTTTAAAATTTTAAATAAGCATCTTGTTTTATTATTTTATTTCTGTTTCTAAATCTAGCCACCCTACTTATAGGTAAGTTCAGTGATGTGGTATATCTTAAATGGACTGGTATTGCCATCATGCTTTGTAATTTACATATCCGTTGGTATAAAATGTTGTTATTGTTAAGCACCATTGAATCGGTTCTGAATCACAGCTACCCTGCAGAGGGTTTTCAAGGAGTAGCTGGTGAGTTTGAATCCTGTGGTCCAGTGCTTATCTGATAGGCCAAACCAGATATATAATAGATACCAATCATTTTCTTGCCAGGATCAGGCAGGGTTTTGCTCCACTGTGCACAGGAACGCTATTGAGTCAGTACCGATTTGATGGCACCTAACAACAACAAAGCAAATGTTAAGGAGCGCTGGTGGTGTGGTGGTTATACACTTGGATGCCAAACAAAAGGTCAGCAATCCAAACCCCTGAGTCACTCCGCTGAAGAAAGACATGGCTGTCTGCTACTGCGAGGACGGAAGCCCTAAGAACCCTCTGGAGCATCCCACCCTGTCCTATAGGGATGCTTTGAGTTGAAATTAACTCATCAGCAATGGATTTGGTTGGGGTTTAGTTCTTTGGTTTTTTGGTTTTAAGCAAATGTTAGAGATTTAGAAGGGGAGCTAGGTGGCTCTGTAGGATAGGCACTTATGGACTGGGAACCATAAAGTTCCAGACTGCAAACCATGGTGGTTCCAGCCCACCAGCCACTCTGCAAGAGAAAGATAAGCCTTTCTGCTCCCACAAAGATTTACAGTCTCCAAAATCCTACATGGGGTCGCGACCCATCGGAAGCAACTGTGTGGCACTCAACAACATCACCAACTACACAACATGTAGATTCAGGATTGAGCAATCACTTTTCCCATCCACCTGGTGAAGCGAGAGCCAGGCAGACACACCCTCTGCCCGGGGGCACTGATTACAAGCAGGAAAGCCCCAGGTATTTCCCTCAACCCACAGCCCGCCTCCACTTGGACTACTCTCTCACATCCCACCTTTCACCAGGAGCCAGATGTCCACCTCCTTCACACCCACGGCATTCTCAGCCCGGCAAACATAGTAGCCCTCATCCAAACGCTGGGAGCAATTGCGGATAGTGAGGGTGGAGCTCTGGTCATGCTGGCTGATGAGATAGCGTGCACTGGGCTGGATGGGCATCCCGGGATGGGAGAGGTTCCTCAGCCACAGGATCCTGGCAGGAGGGTAGGCACCAGACACTTCGCAAGTGAACGTCACGTTGCCTCCCACAAAGCAAGTCTTCATGGGATTAGCGGCAAGGGAGGGACTCCCTGGAGATCAGAAGGAGGACAAGGACAGTTTTTTAAGGTGATTCAAACTGTGGCGCAAGATCTTCAAGAATATGGTTTCCTTCCTGACTAAAGAACTCCAGGAATTTCAGTACTACACATGGCCTTACGGAATGATGCAAGTTAATATTTATCCTTCATTGTTACATATATGAACAGTGTATGTAACAATTCATTCTCACAACCCTGTTCATATACCCACTTTTCTGAGGAAGACACTAAACACGGAGAAGTAACATACTCAAAGATCAACAACTAGGTTTAGGTGGGGCTAGGGTTTAGGGAGACCCACCATCCTGGTTTGCATAATGTTGAGTTTCACTCATTTTATAGATTTCATCAGTAGTTCTTGTACGTTAAATATCATAGACAATCATTTTGCTTACCCATCTACCAGCTAAAGAGCATTTAGACACCTAGCTTTTGGCTCTTCTAAATAACGCTGCTTTGAATCTCTCCCATTTTCCAAGTCAGCAGTGCAGTTATCTTAAATGATGATTTCCCTGAGACTTTCCCAGTAACTTCCCTATCAAAGGAACAATCAACTAACTGCAGACATTGAATATGGAAGAGGTCACAAGCTGAGGGATTCAGATGGCTTTCTGGAAGCTGGAAAAGACAAGGACATGAATTCACTCCTAGAGCCTCTAGAAGAAACATAGCCATGCTGACCAATTTTGGACATCAGACCCTAGAACTATATAACACAGTGCATTTGCGTTGCTTTGAGCCACTAAGTTTTTGATATTTTGTCATAACAGCAATAGGAAACCAATACACCCAACAATTATCCTCCTAGGTTACCTACCTAAGGGATATGAAAACATATGTCCACACAAAAACTTGTACACAGAGCTTCAAAACAGCATTATTCAGAAGAACCAAAAACTGGACATCTAAATGTTCCTCAGCCAGTACATGGGTAAGCAAAATGATTATCTACACAATTAAATATACAAGAACTACTGATGAAATCTACAAAGTGGATGAACCTCAACATTATGCTCTAGCTAGACACACAAGACCACAGAGTACATGATTCCATTCATATGCACTGTCCAGAAAAGGCAAATTAAGAGACAGAAGTCAGATTCACGGCTTCCTGAAGCTGAGGGGGGAATGAAGAACGCCAAGACGAGGACACAAAGGAACTTTCTGGAATGATGGAGCTGTTCAAAAACGGGATTGTGGTGATAGCTAAGTAGTTCAATACATCTGCTAGCAATCACTGAAGTGCACACTTAACAATTACAATCCTGGGCAAAGTTTATGATATGAAAACTGTTTACTTTAATAAAGCTGTTAAAGAATTATCATACCAAAAAAGGTGGCAAGCCACATATTACAAGATTCTATTTATATGGCACAGCCAGAAGAGGCGAACTCACAGAGACAAACAGCGCTTCGGAGAACTGATGGGAGGAGATAATGGAGAGACTGATAATAGCTACAGGGTTTCTTTTGGGGGTGGGGGGAATGTTCTGGAATTAGTAGTGATGCCTGTACAACACTATGAATGTACTTAGAACCACTGGACTATATACTTTAAAATGGTGAATTTTACATGATGTGAATTACATCTTCATATTTTAAAAAACTGCAAACACCAAAAACCAGGTGGCAGGGCAGCTTTAGTCTACAGGCCAATTTGCTGACCCCTGTCCTACCAGAGAAAGCAAGTCTTGGTTCCCCATGAGGCCCAAGGCCTGGTAGAAGCCCTGATGTTTACTGGATGAGTCAGAAGGAAGGTCAATCATCCAACTGATACCAATCTCAGAAAGCAAGCATCTGGCCTAACAGGATTCACTTCTCACATGGCAGGTTTCCACAGCTACATCCCGGGGATTATCCCAACACACTGAGGAATAGTCTTGCCATGGCCCATAGAGGTTGACACACTCTGGTCCCTGCCTCCTTGTCCAGTCTCACTTGTTCCTCAAACACACCGAGATGGTTTCCATCTGAAGGCCTTTGCATTTGCGGTCCCTCTGCCAGGAATACTTCCCTCTCAGCCCCTCACCTGGCCAGCTCTTTCTCATGCTTCAGGTCTTGATATGAAATATAAATGCTTCCAAGAGACCTTGCCTGCCACACTGGGGAAAGGGCTCTCTTCTTTAAGGGACTTTATTTTACACTCACAATTTTAGTTTCCTCAAAATTCTTTTCACAATCTGAACCTGTTCTCTCACTTTCTGTCTTCTTCTTACCTCCACCCCACCCAGAATTTAAGCTCTGTGAAAGCAGAATGGTGGTTTTAAAAACAGGTACAGAAATTCCATGGTCCTCTTCCTTTCAAAGACTGGGATAATCTTTTCAATTCCACTTGAGTATGGGCTGCTCTCTGACTCATTTATAACAGAATCTGGCATAGGTGATGTCATGGGACTCCAAAAGTTAGGTCAAAAAAAAAGAAGATCTCTTCTGCCCAGCTCACTCCCTTATGGATCAGTGACTCTGAGGGAAGCCAGGAGCCATGTTGTGAGGCCGCTCAAGCAGCCCTGTGGAGAGCTCTAGGTGAACAGCAACCCACTTGCCAGGAGTGTAAGGAAGCATCCTGGACATAGACCCTTGTGGTGATTTCAGTCCCCTAACCTCCCAGTTTCCCAGCTGAGGCCCCAGATGTTACAAAACATTATGCGCTGCCTGTCTGAATTCCTGACCCACAGAAATCCTGAGCTATTAAATGATGATTGCTATTTTAAGCCACTAAGTTGAAATACAACTTATTATATAATAATAGACAACTAATACATGAGCTTCACCTGTCTAATGCACTGCTCCATCTCCAGCCCCTAGACTGTGCCTGGGATATAACAGTTGCTCAACTGATATTTGTCAAATGAAAGACAGTTTGAACTAGAACCAAGAAAGGAGGGCATTCCATTCACTGAGACACCGTGGGAAGTCTTTCTAGACCTTCTTTCAAATGATTCCCCCAGGAGAAAGGCTGGTGAACCCCAACTGCAAGACAAGGCAAGTCCAACTCACTGATTTGTAGCATGCAGCTGGCTCCGGACTCTGGGCCCATGATGTGGTTCCCAACACACTTGAACTTCTTGCCATCCGACAGCTGGGATCGGTCCAGCCTTTCCACTCCCAGACTGGACTTCCCCACGACCACACCGCCTGGCTCTTCTGACCACTGGAACGTTGGGTTTGGGTATCCCCCATCCCATCGACAGGTGAGCTGCAGATTGACCAATCCTGGTGACATCTCTGCCCAGCATTGAGGGGCTGATGGAGGGGGGTCTGCAAAACACCAGGGAAAAGGCTGGTTTAGTGTCTGGTGCTAAGATTCACCATTGGATTGGCCCTAAGTATTTCAGAAACACAGCACCAGAGGAGCATCAAGCCTAGTTAGGGTTATCTCGAACTTCACACACAGATTAGCATCTATGAGTGTTGGATAGTTTTATTTTTTCTTTTCCACTAAGAACAAGCTTTGCTCCATCTTTCTGAGGCTGATCACAACCCCAGCCCCAACCTCCAAACTAGTACATTTATTCTCTCTTGCTTTTTCCAAACCAGGCACCTAACCTCACCCTTTCCCTACATCTTTAATCATCTTCTGCACTGGTGCATTTTCTTCTTTAAGAAGTACTCAGACTGCACCTCTCTCGAAAACTAAAAACATTCTGTACTCTCTTTGCCCTCAACGAATTACAATATAAATGGAACCAGAGCCCAAAACATACTCAACTTTAGCCAAAAGCTTTGTTTTAATTAGTTCTGACAATCACCAGGTGTCCTTCACTAGATGCCCTTGTATCTCTGAGGGTACTTCATCTTTGCGCTATCACCAGCCACATGTGGCTATTTAATTATTTATTAATTGTTTTATTGATGCTGAAAATATACAGAGCACAACCCACTTCCATTTGAGAATTTCTACACATAATGACCAGTGGCATTGGTTACGTTCTTCACGTTGTGCCAACATCTCATTACTTGTTCTAGTTATTTCACTTCCAGATACTTTACCTCCATGCACCCTCTCTTCCCAACCTTGTCATTTACGCTTTAAAAGAGGTGTTGCCCCTTTGGTCTTACGTCGTTTTTCGTTGTTGTAAAACACACCTACGATACTAAAGGGTGACAGTCAGTACTCTTTGAGCTAAGCTGAAACTTGAGTTAAAGGTGACTTCAGGGGATAGTTCCAATTCTACTTGGGAGGGAAGACAGGTTCATAGTCTCAGGGAATCTTCTGGCTTCAGTAGTTTCAGCAAGTCTGGATACTTTAAGAATTTGAATTTCTACATTTTTCTCCCTTTTATCAAGATTTATCTATTGTGTTCCTAATCAGAATGCTGACTAGTGATGGACAGGCACCATATAGTTTCTCTTGTCTCAAGACAATTAGTTAATGAAGACAATTAGTTCTATAGTCCAATTTCTTCCCTAATTCTTGAGGTTCTTGGTTTCTCTTGTTCCAGACAAATAAAGATCATTTGTTGTTGTTGTTAAGTGCCAGAGAGCCGGTTCCAACCCATAGGGACCCTGTATAAGGTTTCTGAGGAGCGGCTGGTGAACTTGAACTGCCCACCTTGCAGTTCAAATGGCTTTGCAGTCTGGTGCATTAACCCACAGCGCCACCCCAGGCCTCCAAAGATCATTAGTAGTGGGCTATTTAAATTAACTAGAATAAAATGATAAATTCCATTCCTCCATCTGACGATCCTTATTTCAAGTGCTCAGTAGCATGTATCTAGTGCTGTTGTTATTAAGAAGTGCAGTCGAGTCACTTCTAACTCAAAGCAACTCTGTATAGCGTTTCTGAGGTATCTGGTGAGTTTGAACTACCAACCCTGAGGTTCAAACCAACCTTGTGATTCAGTGTTTATCCTACAGTGCCACATAAGTGCTGTTATTAGACAAAGCAAAATGGACCACTTGTATTCTCACAAAAAGTTCTTCTGTGAACAGATGCCCTAGCAGGAGGCATGTGGGAGACCAGGTGAAGAGGATAATTTCTCACAACCACCATCACTACTATTGTTCTTTTTGTATGCCATCAAGTCAGTTCTGACTCATAACGACCCTGTACAGGGTTTCCAAGAAGCAGCTGGTAAGCTAGAACCACCAACCTTGTGGATCAAACCGACCTTGCAGTTCAGGGCATTAACCACAGCGCCACACCAGGACTCGAGCTGCCAAAGGAACAAACAGATCTGTGTTGGAAGAAATACAGCCAGAGTGCTCCTTGGAGACCAGTATGGCCACACTTCATCTCTCATACTTTGGACGTATTGTCAGGAGGGACCAGTCACTGGAGAAGGATATCTTATTTGGTAAGCTGGAGGGTCAGAGAAAAAGGAAGACAGACCCCCAGCAAGATGGACTGGCAATATGGCAGCATCAATGGGCTCAAGTGTGGCAACAATTGTGAGGTTGGCCCAGAACTGAGTAGTGTTTCAGTCTGTTATGCACAGGGTTGCCATGAGTCCGTACCGACTTGATCAACAACAACAACCATCCATCAGTATCACTCCTTTGAACACTGGAATATTTTTTAAACCATGAGTTTGTTGTTATTGGAGTCCTGGTGTGGCACTGTGGGTTAACACGCTGGACTGAAAAGTCAGTTTGAACTGCAAAATCAGTGGTTCAAGCTCACCAGCCACTCCTTGGAAGCCCCATACAGCGTCGCTGTGAGTGGAACCAACTCGACAGTACTTAACAACACAATGTTGTCACAGATGTTAAGTGCTGTTGAGTTGGTTCTGACTCCTGCCCGGGGTTTCTGAGGCATTCAGTCTGTGCGGGAGCAGCAAGCCTCATCTTTCTCCTAAAGCGTGACTAGCAGGCTCAAAGCGCGGACCTTGTGGTTTGCAGTCCAGTGCTTATTGTATGGAGCCACCATGCTCCCATGCACATATATATTACTAAAACAATACAAATAAAAATTCAATAGACATTATGATTAAGGTTGAGTGTCATCTTGGCTGAGTTAGGGTTCTCTGGTATGCCGGTTAAGACGCAGTCATCCTCATGACAAGATCTACTCTGGGCAGTCAATCAGTTGAAAGGGAGTTTCCTTCGGGCTTTGCAATGAATATATATGGACATTTGGACAAAGCTCTCTAGATTTGTGCTGTGGATCCGGTATCTGGCTCTCTTCATCTGACCTCTGGCTCTAGGGCCTTCAGCCAGCAGCCTGCTGCATGCCCACCCATCCTTGGATTCCTCAGTCTTTGCAGCCTGTGAGTTGGCAGTCGGTGGTCTAACTTGGAGATCTTGGGTTCATCGCCTCCTGCAGACACATGAGTCAGGAGAAGCCGACAGCCTGACATGGGACCCATAGGCTGGGGACTTGCCTGCCTCTAGGACCGAGTAATCCCTTGCTTGAGACAAATCTCTATCCATAAATATGAAACTTCACTGATTTTGCTTTTATAGAGAGCACAGCGTAAGACCACAGGTTACATACAAGACTGGAAAGTACATACTTTCCATATCTCATACTTATTAATAGCTATGTAAATCTATATGCATAACTATGTATGTATGTTGTTGTTGTTAACTGCAAATGAGGGGAGTTCAAAAGTTTGTGGAAAAATGGAATTAAAACATAATGAAAGTTTCCACAAACTTTTTGAAGCTACCAGGAGTGTGTGCATGTGTATGTAACTACTGTTGGTGGTAGGTACCGATGAGTCAATTTTCAACTCACAGTGACCCCACGTGACCAAGAAGAACTGCCCCATAGGGTGGTCTTGGCTGTCCTCTTTATGGGACAGATTGCCAGGTCCGTCTCCTGCAAAGTGACTGAGAAGTCCAAACCATCAATCTTGCGATTAGCAGCGAAGCTTAACGGTTGTGCCACCAGGAGTCCTGGTCCTGTGGGTTAGGCATTCAACTGCTAACTGAAAGGTTAGCAGTTCAAACCCACTAGCCACACTGCAGGAGAAAGATGAGGCTGTCTGCTCCCACAAAGATCTACAGTTTTGGGGGCCCTACAAGGCATCACTATGAGTCAGAAGTGACTCAGTGACAGTGGGGTTGGTTTTGGTATGTGTTGTTCGTAGGCGCTTTTGAGTCAGTTCTGACTCATTGCGACCCTATGCACAACAGAACACAACACTGCCCAGTCCTGCACCATCACAGTTGTTACAGTTGAGCCCAATGTTGCTGTCACAGTGTCAATTCGTTTCTTTGGGGGTGGGGGGTCTTCCTATTTTACCAAGGACGACCTTACTGAGCCCCCATTTTACCAAGTTTGATGTCCTTTTCCAAATACTGGTCCCTCCTGATAACATGTCTGATGTATGAGAGATGAAGTCTGGCCATACAAGCTTCGAATGAGCATTCTGGCTTTTACTTCTTACAACACACAGATTTGTTGGTTCGTCCGGATGGCCTTATTCAATGTCCAACTTTCACATGCATACGAGGTGACTTTAATTCTCAAATAGCAATCTTTTCTCTTTAACTCTTTATAGAAGTCTTGTGCAGATTTGCCTAATGCAATCTGTCCTTTGGTTTCTTGACTGCTGCTTCCATGAGTGTTGATAGTAAATCTAAGTAAAATAAAGTCTTCCACAACATCAATCTTTTATCCATTTATCATGATGTTATTTATGATAAATTATGTTGTGAGTATTTTTGTTTTCTTTGCATTGAGGTGCAACCAATACTGAATATTGTAGTTTTGTTTTTGTTTTTTTTATTTAATCTTCATCAGCAAGTATTTTAAGCCCTCTTCACTTATAACAACCAAGGTTGTATCATCTGCACATCACAGATTGTTAATGAGACTTCTTCCAATCTTGATGCCATGTTCTTCTTCATATAATCCAATTTCTCAGATTATATGCTCAGCATACAGATTGAATAAATATGGTGAAAGGATCCAACCATGGTGTACACCTTTCCTGACTGGCAACCATTCAGCCTCCCCTTGTTATAAAAGCTGCCTCTTGGTCAATGTACAGGACCTTGATGGCATTGGGAGGAATGGAAATTCCAGAACAAACTATGGATGATGTTGTGAAGAACGCACATTCCAGAACACTTAAAAGTTCTGGAATACCCATTCTTTACAATGTCATCCATAGTTTGCCATGAACTACAAAGTTAAAAGTCTTTGTATAGTCACTAAATATAAGTAACCTTCTTTCTGGTATTCTTGGCTTTCAGCCAAGATCTGTCTGATGTCATCAATGATAGGCCTAGTTCTATGTCCTCCCCCAGCAAGATGGATTGGCAAAGTGGCAGCATCAATGGGCTCAAGCATGACAGCAATTGTGAGGTTGGCCCAAGATCAGGCAGTGTTTTATTCTGCTGTGCATACGGTCGCTGTGAGTCCGTACAGACTGGATGGCACTTAACATCTATGTCCTCTTCTTCATTCAGCTTAAATTACTAGCAATTCCCTGTTGATGTACTGTTGCAACCGTTTGTAAATTATTTTCAGCAAAATTTTACTTGTGTGTGATACTAATGATATTGTTTAATGATTTCTGCATTCAACTGGATCACCTCTCTGTAGAAAAGACACAAATATGGGTGGCTGTCTTCTAATCAGTTAGCTAGGCAGCTGGTTTAAAAACATTTCTTGGCACAGAAGAGCGAGTATCTCTTTCAGTGCAGCATCAATTTGCCGAAAGACTTTAATTTGTATTCCATCAATTCCTAGAGCCTTGCTTTTCAGCAATGTTGTCATTGCAGCTTGGGCTTCTTCCTTCAGTACCATTTGCTCTGGACCATATGCTGCCTCTTAAAGCATCTCCTTTTGGTACAGCGATTCCGTGTATTCCTTCCATCTTCTTTTGATGCTTTCTTCAGCATTCAATATTTTTTCCATACTGTTGTTAATTGTTGGTAAGTATCTTCAAGTCAGTTTTGACTCATGCCTACCCTGTATGTGGTTTCTAAGGAGCAGCTGGCAACTTTGAACCATCAACTTTGTGGTGAATAGTCTTATCCTTCAATATTTCAAGTCAAGGCTTGAATTTTTTCTTCAGTTCTTTAGCCTTGAGAAATACTGAGTGTATTCTTAGAATACTTGACTTTGCCTTCTTAAGCTACCCTTTGAAATGTTCTGTTCAACTCTTTTACTTCATTTCTTCCATTCGTTTTTGCATCTCTATGCTCAAGAGCAAGTTTTAGAGTCTCTTCTGACGTGCATTTTTCTCTTTTCTTTCTTTCCTATATTTTAAATTTGCTTTCAGTTTGACCTATTGCTTTCTTTATATATGATGTTTTTCATGTCATCCCAAAGCACTTCTGATCCTGGTCATTAATGTCTAATGCATCAAATCTATTCTTAAGATAGTCTCTAAATTCAGGTGGGATATATTCCAGGGTTTATGTTGGCTCTTGTTCACTTGTTTTAATTTTCTCATCTTCAGCCTGAACTTGCATATGAGCAATTGATGGTCCATTCCACAGTCTGCCCATGACCTTGTTTAGACTGATGATATGGAGTTTTTTCACCATATCTTTCCACGGATGTAGTTGATGTGATTCTTGTGTATTTGTTTTGGTGAGGCCAAGGTATATGGTCTTTCATGTTGTTTATAAAACATATGTGCAATGAATAAATCATTGGTCTTTCAAAATTCTCTCATGTCATCTCCATCATTGTTTCTATCACTAAGGCCATATTTTTCAACTCTTAATCCTTCCTCTTTGTTTCCAACCTTCACATTCCATTCACCGGTAATTATCAAGACATCTTGACTGCATGCTTGATCAGTTTCAGACTGAAGAAGTTGGTGAAATTCTTCAATTTCAATTTCACCATCACTGGCTTTAGTGGTTGACTTGTATATTTGAATAACACTGGTATGAACTAGTCTTCCCTGTAAGCCTACGGATACTGACCTATCACAGACAGCACAGTTCTTCAAGATCCATCTTGAAGTGTCCTTTTTCACAATGAATATGATGCCATTCCTCTTTAGTTTGTCTTTCCAAGCATAATAGACCACATGACTGTCAGATTCAAGATGGCCAATACCAGTTCATTTCAGCTCACTAATGCCTAGGATACCGATCTTGATGTGTTCCATTTCATTTCTGATAACTTCAATTTTCCTAGATTCATACTTTGTACATTACATGTTCCAATTATTAATGGATATTAACAGCTGCTTATCCACATTTTGGAGTCCTGGTGTGGAGCTAAGAGTTAATGCTTCAGGCTGCAAAGCTGTTTGAATTGCCGGTTCAACCGGCCGTTTGAACCGGCGGTTCAAGCTTACCAGCTGCTCCTCAGAAGCCCTAATTAGGGTCGCTATGGGTCGGAATCAACTTGACGGCACTTAATAACAACTCCACATTTTGAGTTGTGCCCTCTCAGCAAATAAAGGCCCCGAAACTTTTACTCCAGTCATATCATTAGGATCCAGCTCTACTTTGAGTAGGCAGCTTTTCTCCAGTTGAATTTTGAGTGCCTTCCAACCAGAGGGGCTTATCTTCCAGCACTGTATCTGACAATGTTCTCCTGCTTTTCATAAGGTTTTCAAGTGGCTAAACGCTAAGAAGTAGTTTTCTTCTCCTTCTTTCTAGTCTGTCTTAATCTGGAAGCTCATATGAAACCTGTCTACCATGGGTTTCATTAAAATACCAATAACATGGTTTCCAGTATCACAGCAACACGTGAGCCACCAGAGCATGACAAACTGATAGGTAGGTAATGGGATTTTGGTAGACATGAATATACATCATGTTTTAATATGTTTTATGTAACACACATACATGACAATAAATTTGACTCTTATATGGATAGATGGGCATGTGGCAGCTACAGGATAAATGAATGGAAATATACTAAGATGATGGTTCAAAATACAGTTGCCCTAGAGTCGACTGTGACTCATGATTCCCCCACAGGGTGTTCAGTGACTGATGTTTTAGAAGTAAATCACCAGGCCTTTCTTCAGAAGAACCTCGGGTGAACTTGAAATGCCAACCATTCAGTTAACAGCCAAGCCTGTTAGTAATCTGTACCACCCAAGGACTGAAGTGATGGTTAAATTGCAGCTGATGTTTTCCACAATAGGCACATATGGCTTTGTGTACAATAAAGGACATTTATGACAGAAAGCACAGAGGCTTTTCAAGGCTCTAAATACATAGGAAACGAAGACTGTGTTATTTTCCTGCCCACTAATGTGTTGTTCTGATGTCCCCTCTCCTTGGCACAGATTAACTGTAAGCACACACTTCATTTCTACAGTGGTTTCTGTCCACGATACTTGTGTACTTGAACAGCTGGTTCCTAAAAGGAGGTACACAAGGGCCTAAAAGGCTGCAGCGGGTTCTGCCCATGTAGGTGAGCAAGAACGTACAAGGCTCAGCAGGAGTTTCCTACAGAAGCTCCGTTAACCCCAATTAGCAGCCAGCTTCGAGAAGAAGTCACTCTCTGCTATGTGGCCTCTCTGAAATGTAGCATCTACTCTGCGTGTGTGTGTGCTGTCCATGCACTGTGGACATGCATCAGGTACGGACCATGCAAACACACAGTTCACACAAGATTAAAGGGAAGGGAGAGGGTTGCTTTTTACGCACGGTAGACCAGGAGTTCTGTGGTCTCCTCGTGATGTCTGCTACTGAGCATGTTCATGGCCAAACAGGTGTAGTTCCCTTGGAGGTTTTGTGACACCTGTAGCAGCGCGAAGGAACTAGCTGTCAGGTTGTTTCCAAAGGGCTCCATCCTGGAATCCGGGGCCCGGAACCACCACTCAACCATGGGTGGAGGCCAGGAGGTGCTGTTGCAGCTGAAGTTCACTTGGGTGCCCCTGGCAGCATAGTGCGTGCCATTGGGGAGCTTGCCGGTGGCGGAGATGTTGACTTCAATCTGATAGGGACCACCTGGGAAAGAGAGGAGCGGGAAGGAATTGGTTACAGACAAGTTCATTTGAGATCCTTCCTTACCAGCTCGGATGCATCAAGGATCCAGAAGTGGATGACCAAAATATCTGAGTGCTCTGACATACTCTCCCATCCACTCCTTAGCAATAATGTGAGCTTAACCGGGGAATAAATCCCTAGAGGAAAGGGAACATACACATTGCCCTTTAAGAAACACAGTACAGTAGAAAAGGCATCTGTACAGAAAAGAGTTAATATTGCAGGCCCAAGACAGCTCTCCTAGAAAGGTCTGCTTACAAGGTGGCGTTCGGCTGGTACATGGGAACTTGGAATTTGTGAGTGGTGGTGGTTATGTGCCATGGAGTTGGTTCCGAGTCATAGTGCCCCTATCTAAGGTTTCCGAAGCTGTAAATCTTTAGGGGAGCAAAAAGCCTCATCTTTCTCCCTTGGAGTGGCTGGTAGATTTGAATAACTAACATTTAACCCACTGTTACCAAAGCTCCTTTGGGAGAGTGCCCACCAGTTCCAGAACCACTTAAGAGTGGCTCACTGTGCCTCAACGATTTACACAAACACTGTGGTTCATGCAGAACACCTGCTTTCCTTTGGGGATGTGAAATTTGGGTGCTTGCTCAGTAGAAAGTGCCTATGTGACCAACCCCAAATAAAAACCTGGGTTCTCTCTTCTGCACAGAGCTTCCACATAGACAACATGGCATAGGTGTTATCACATCTCATAGCTCGAGTATGAATCCACAAAGAGTCCAACTGGAGCCTGTACCTGGGTTCCCCTAGACTTCACCCTGTGCACCTTTCCCCAAACGTCCTTTCACAAATCCTAGCGGTGAAGAAATCTGTTTGTGAAGCTGTGGATCCTCCTAGAGAATTGCTTGGACCTGGGCATGGTTCAGGGAAACCACAACTCAATACCTACCTGAAAGACAAGAAACACTGCTTCTATTCACAACTTAGAATTCCAATGATTAGCTCTGAGACCTTGGACAAGTTACTTAACCTCTCTGGGCCTCCATTTCCTTAGCAGTAAGATGGATGATGGGTGGCCTGGAATAACAGTACCCACTTCGTGGAGTTAAGATTAAATAAACTAAAAAACAACAACAGCACAAAGACTGGAGGACACCCAAAGACTATTACTCTGAGGTCACGCTGCATCTAAATAACTAACGAGAATTACCATAAAATACTGTGTGCCTTTAAAACCACAACCATATGACAGGGACTTTACACCAAAGATGAGAAGGCAAGAAGGCAGGGAAACTAGACCAATGGAAACAGAACAATCAGAAGGCAAACGATGAGAATGTGCACCCACAGTGAGAACTAATGCCACTGAGCATGTTCTGTGGAAACTGTTTAAGGAGGACTTAAACTGCTACATAAACCTCACTGGAAACACAATAAACGGATTCTTTGATAAAGATTGAGTTGTTGCCCTACAGCCCCCAGAATGGGTCCTGGGGAGTTGGGAGCATTTAATAAATGCCAGTTCTATCTTGGCTACCCTCTTATTTCTGAATTTATTTATTTATTAATTTTTATTGTGAATTAAATGAAGGTTTACAGAAAAGCTCTTCAGTTTGACACTCAACAAAATCCTATATTTGGTTTCATTACAATGGTTGCAACCTCCTCCATGTACTAACAGTTAACAGTGGTGGTGGTGTGCCATGGAGTCAGTTCCAACTCATAGTGACCCTGCATAGGGTTTCTGAGGCTGAAAAATCTGAGCAGAAAGCCTCATCTTTCTCCCGCAGAACGGCTAGTTGTTTCGAACTGCTGACCTTGAGGTTACCAGCCCTACTCGTAACCCCTATGCTACAGAGCTCCTTAACAGTTAACATTTACCTCTATTCACTGTAACTACTGCGTTCCTCCCTGGTCTCCTGCTATGCTCATCTTTCCTAGACTAACCTCCCTCTTGCCTGGCTGTCACCCATGTTAACAAGTGTCTACTCTCTAACCCCTGAATAATTTTCCCTTCCCACCGCCCATAACAATCATATATTCTTTCATTAAGAAAATCTTTTTCAAATTTCTTACAATGGCCAAATACAATATTTGTCCTTTTGTGACTGACTTAATTTCATTCAACATAATGTCCTCCAGGTTCATACATGTTGTGCGGTGTTTTGCAGATTTATCGTTCTTGAGTGTTGTGTACTATTCCATTGTGGATATGTACCACAATTTGTCTAATCACTCTTCTGCTGATGGGCATTTAAGCTGTCTCCATCTTTTTTATGTATCTCTGGTAGACAGCATATTGAAGGATCCTGTTTTCTTATCCATTCTGCTCTCCGTCTCTTAACTGGTGCATTTAATCCATCGACATTCAGTATAATTCTCGATTGGTGTGAACTGATTGCTGTCATTTTGGTGTGTGTGCTTTTGTAGTACTGCTGATTTCTTTGTTCCACATAATTTTCTATGCTGAATTCATTTTGTTTGTGGGTTTTCCCTTCATTTTAATTTCTGTTGTATTAATGTTTACTAAATCTTACTAATTTTCCACTTTTAAAATTTTGATGTGCAGTGTATTAGTCTTCTTTCAGTTGACCCTGCAATTTATTAATTTTTCCCTATTTAAAACAGTGTGTTTCCTCTTCAGATCTACTTGACTTCCTCACAATATTTAAATTCTAAATCTACACTATTCCCTCTTTTTGCTCTGTAGTTGACTTCATTATAAAGTGGTATCTCTGGTTCTCTATTTTCTGTCTTGTAGTTTTATTTCATTTTAAGAACTTCTATACCTGGAGCCCTGGCATAGCACTCTGAGTTAATGCACTGGACCACTTGGTAAGTTTGAACTGCAAAGTTGATGTTCAAGCTCACCAGCTGCTCCTTGGAAACCCTATACTGGGTCGCTATGAGTCAGACATGACTCCACGGCACTTAACAATACCTGGATTGAGTTCTGGGTGGTGTTGTCATGTATGGTAACCCCAGGTTGTTGTCTGTTGTTGTTGGTTCTCAGTCCAAAAAACACCCTTTAGCATTTTTTTGTAAAGCTAGTCTGGTCATTACAAATGTCTTTAATTTCCGTTTATCAGAAATGTCCTAATTTTACCATCATATTTAAGGGACAGCTATGCTGGGTATATCATTCTTGGTTGGCAATTTTTTTTTTTCTTTCAGTGCTTTGTATGTTTCATTCTTGCCTACATGGTTTCTGCTAAGAAATCCAGGCTCAGTCTTATTGGTTCTCCTTTACTGGTAACTTTTCATTTTTCCCGAGCTGCTCTAAGGAATCTTTCCTTGTCTTTGGTTTTAGAAAGTTTGATTATGATATGTCTTGGTAATTTTCTTTTGGGATCTATCTCGTTTGTGGTTCATTCAGCTTCTTGTATGCTTACCATCTTGTCTTTCATGATCTAAGGGAAGTTTTCCTCCAATAAGTCTTTTAAATTTTCTCTCAGCTTTTTATTGTCTCTTCCTGTTCTGGAATTCTGATCAGCAATAGTTGGTCCTCTTCAGGGTGTGCCACTTAACTCTTAGGCTTTCTTTGGACTTTTTCATTCTTTTTTCTGATTGTTCAGCTAGCATACTAGTATTGAGAGATTTCTCTTCACATTCACTAATTCGGGCTTCTACTCCTTTTAAATCACTCCTTTGCCCTTTCAATGAAGTGCCCATTTCTGAAACCTGAGCATTAATTTTCTGGATTTCTAAAGGCAGGGTTTGTATTGTTGCAAATTTTGCATAAAAGAAAGAAATAAAAATAGATACTTAGAAAAACCAGGGTGAGAAAAGATGAAAAGAACGAGTAGAGAGTAGTAAAGGAAGATCAAAAGGGGAAAAAAGAGGGAGGATGAAAAACAGAAGAAAAGAAGATAAAAACAAAAGTGGAGACAGAAAGGATAAAATTCAAGGGAATGGAAAGAGAAGAAGAAGAAGAAAGCATAAACAAACTAAAACAATCAAACAAACAAAAAACAGTGCATCCGTTGGGCCTGGAGAGAAAACTCTAGGGGACACCTGCCAGCCATGGAGACAAGCTGGGGAAGGGAGGGATGTGACAGCAGAGTTCCTGGCCCTAGAAGGAGTTCCTACTGGCCTCGGTATTATCTATGTTCAGGGCACTCCATCTAGAAGTAGTTCATGGAGGCCCCTGATGCAGCTGGTTTCAGTGTCTGTAAAGACCACAGGGCAGCTAGAGACAGGGTGGCTGGTTAAATGCTGGTCTGGTAGATCTATGGGTTCTGTAGTCTGGAGCCAAGTCCATTGGAAGCCAGGCACCAAAGTGGCAAGGCTGGGTCCTCCTCACACTGTCATGGCTCCTAAGCACGTAGCTCTGAACTCCCGGGAAGCAGAATCTGTATGAGGGATGGAGAAGGGTAGGAGGTGGCCATACTCTGCTCACCAGGGAAGCATGGGGCAAAAGGCAGTGCACCTTTTCCATCACCTGTGTGAATGTGCTCTGCCAGGCCTCCCTTTGTTCACAGGATGCTTAAGCAGTACCTGGTCAGCCATTCACCAGTCAGCCGCCCTCTCTCACGGTCCCTGCTCAGCTTCTCCTCCCAGCAGCACCCATTCCACTTCTCTAAGCTTTCCTCTGTAGTTCAGAGAATTTTCATGTGTATGTTTCATTTGGTCTCTCATACCTGTGCTGCAGAGGGTTCGTGCAATGCATCTGCCTAGTCTGCCATCTTGCTGCAAGTCTCTCTTGAACTTCTTATTCCAGAAATACTTTCCCACTGTTGGTCCCCAGTGGATCTAAGATGCCACATCTCCTTTGATGCAAGGAATATATCTGACACCTGTTCCTACTAAAGCAACTTACTGCATAACCCCTCCTACAGACTTCCTCTTTGAAAAAGAAAGAATCCAAGAAAGACAATGTTTAGCCTGAAGGAATAAATCCAAAGCTAGAGAACTGTGAGCAGTAACAGGTCAAGGGGAAACAATTGCTTGGGGGAAATAAAAAGTTTTCCCAGACCCTGGAATCACAGCAACTACTTAACTATGTCTGTGGTCAT